CGGAGGAGGCGGAGGAGGCGGAGGAGGCGGAGGAGGCGGAGGAGGAGGAGGAGGAGGAGGAGGAGGAGGAGGAGGAGGAGGAGAGGGGGGGGCAGAAGAGGAGGAGGGCAGAGGACGGGGCGGCGACGACGGCGGCGACGACGGCGGTGGGGCGGCGGGGCGTCCAGCGACTGCGGGGGGCTCTCGGCGAGAGCGGCGCCGTGCTCGCCCAGGGGCCAGGCGGCCGCCGCCACCGCGGCGGCGGAGAGGGCGCCTCAGGGGGGGGGGGGGCTCCCCAGTTGGCCGTATCAGGGCGCGGGCGAGGGCTCGGGCGTCCATCCTCCGCGCATGCATTTGTCGGCTTCGTGCGCTTCGTCCTCTTCCCAAGATGATCCAAGGCGCTCTCCGATGGTCCCCCGCCGAGGAAGAATGCATGCGTCCGAGAGATGCCAGGAGGAGGGTGGGTGAAGAGGAGGGCTCACGGTCAGGAACTTTTGTCCAGCGTGTCGCGGCGGCGGCCCCTTCGACGGAGTTGGCCGTCTCAGGGGCGCGGGTGAGGGGGAGGGTGAACGGGGAAGACTTCTGGTCGGGAACTGTTGCTTAGCGTGTCGCGGCGGTGGCCCATGCGATACGCTATGCCCCCTTCAAAATGCTAGCGCGTCGCTCCGCTCCAAGGACCAGAGGCTGGGGAAAGCTTGGGACGCTGATGCCTGGGGGCTGGGGTGTGGTTGGCGTGTCGTGGTGAAGAGTGGTGGGCCAGAATCGGCAGCGCGATCCGCCAAGCACACAATCTCGCCCGTATTCGGAGGTGGATGACCAAAGACACTACTGAATACGAATTCACTTGTTGAGGCACGCACGGATTTCTCGGATCCGCCCCGGGTCCCCCCCGTCGGCGCCTCCAGCGCCCATCCGAGAAATCCGCCTGGCCCATCGGCAATTTCTCTTCATGACGTTGGCTGTTTTTCCATTTGCTCGGACGTGTGTTAGCGTCGAGCTCCCAAGTCCCTTGAACGATGCAGGCAGCGGGCGCAAGGGGATGGAGACCGGCGAGGGCCCTAAAGGCGGCTGGGGTCGACTGAGAAGGAGGAGGGGAAGGAGGGATGTCTGCTCGAGGCCGCTGCAATGCTGGGCTGCATGACGGGCAAGACATGCAACCCCGAGACGGCATCAACACCATCTGTCCTCCCCTGGCCTCCCCCTCCGACTCCACCTCTCCTTCCCCCCCACCCCGATCCGCGCCCCTTCATCCGCAGCCCTCACCTCCATCCCTGCCCCTCCCTCTAGGAGGAGTCGGCTTGCGGGGGGGGTCGGGCGCGCGGGAGGCGGGCGGAGGCGTCGCCGGCGCCCCGCGCCCCCGGGGGGCTCCATGTTGGATTTCCCAGGCTGCGCCAGGCGCGCGCGCGTTACTTGCCCGCGCGCCCGCATTCGCGCAAGCGCATCCTAAGAAACTATGATTTGGATCGGAACCGGGCGACAGAGGGCATGGTGCGCCTGTCGAGGCTGCTTCTGGGAGCGATTGCTGCTGGCTCGACACGCGCGATATGCATGTGACGACTTTTGGAGGACGGGCGCTGCGCCGTCCAATCCAACGCGGCAATGGCGCGGTCCGGGGCGCGCGGCCGTCGCGGCACACGGCGGTCGACGTGGCCGCACGGGGCGCGCGATCGGCCGCGCGGTATTTGCGGGCCCTTCGGCCGACGCTGCCGGGTCGCCCTCAAACAGCCCGCCAGGAATGCGCAAATGCGCAATGCGCCAGCGCGCCGCCAGGATATCGCCCTGAAAAGAACCTGTTCACTCTGAACGCCGACTGCGCGCCTCGCTGAACCAGCGAAGTCGCGCGGCGCGCCCGCGCCGCGCACCCGCCGCAGTGAACTCGCGGGAAAAAGGCCTCTCTGCATGAGTTCTGGCACCGATTCTGGCCTACTTCCCGTTCTGGCCGATTCTGGTTCCATCGCCGATTCCACCTTTGATTCCGTATTGATTCCGTGCTGATTCTTTTGATTCCGCTAGAATCAGGGGTCGCAGTTGTGCCGATTCTGTTTTGATTCTGCACTGATTCCGTACTGATTCCTTTGATTCCCCTGTGCCCCGGAGACCATCAGGCCGCGGCCCGAGCTCCCGCCGCGGCGGCATGGTTTTTCCAGGAGCGCGGAAGAGTTTTGAGGGGGAGGGGGGCGGGGGGGGGGGCGGATCGACTTCTGGGGCGCATCGGGCGGCCGAGCCGCAGATTCCCGGGTCCAGTGCGCGCGCCCAGCATGGCAGGCGCGGGCGCGCGCGCGAATCCTCGACCGTCGGCGCATCTGTAAGTTCATGCACCGCCCCGCGCGCGGGAATGGAAACTTGCGTTGCGGTTTCAAATTGAACGCGCGGCCGTCGCAACTGCATCGCATTGCTCAGCGCGCAAAGCGCGCGAGCAGCATGGGGGGCTTTGCGTTCTCGCATTAGAAGTGCGCGGGGCCGAACCGAACGGTCGGCGGCGCCCGCTCCTGCGCGCGCGCGAGGCCATCGCGTCAGCGCGGGAGGCTACAAGGGCCTGGGCCGTCGCCCTGGGGCGCGGGCGCAGCGCGAGGCCTGCGCGGGTCCCTCGCGCCAAACATGCGCAACAAGGTCGGCCCGCCCGCCGGCTGGCGCTCGCGGGCGACGACGCCAGCGCCGACTGCGAGGCCGACTGGGCCAAGAGGATTCCTGAGAGCCCCGGGAAGGGGCAGCGGGCCGCGATGGAATCGGCGCGGTCGTTGGCGCCCCCCCCGCGCCCGCCCCCCCCTGCAAGCCGACTCCTCCTACCTCCCTCTTTCTCTTGGGCAGGCCGCAGGAGCGACAGCTCGAAGCGCCAATGGCTCTCCGCCTCGCCCTCCCTCCCCATCCGCTCTCCCCCCGCTCCCCCCCTCCTGGGGCTCTCTGGAACCACCCGGGGCCTCCTGTCCTACATCCCCCCGTGGAGCCCTCCTGGCCGAACCCCCCCCCCCCCGAGAACATGCAGAGAACGTTCAGAAAAGCATTCGCGACGAACAGCAGTCCAGGGCCAGGGGAGCATCCCCCACCCCCGGGAGAAGGCTCCTGAAGGGGAAACAGGACACCGGGACACTGAGGCTTTCCGTGGGATCAGCCCTTCACCCAGACCCACACAGCCCTCGGAGGCCGAAAACGGCGAAACACGGCAGGACCCATTTCCCCCAGGACCCCTGGCCCCCAAACACGTTCACATCTTGGTGGGAGGGGGACTCCTCTTCATTTCGCTAGTCTCCACCAGATAATGCAGCGCACGATTGCGAATGCAGACGTCGGAGGTATGGAAGGCTGCAGCACGTCGGCGGGTCGGAGCGGCGCCCCGCCGCCTCTGCAGTACACACTCCTCACAACAAGCAACTACGTATTCCTCGTTATACTCATCCTCGCCGCCTCTTTCTCCTCCTCCCTCTCTTCGGTTTCCTCCTCGACCTCCTCCTCCTCCTCCTCCTCCTCCTCCTCCTCCTCCTCCCTCCTCCTCCTCCTCCTCCTCCTCCTCCTCCCTCCTCCCCCTCCTCTTCCTCCTCCTCCTCCTCCTCCTCCTCCTCCTCCTCCTCCTCCTCCTCCTCCTCCTCCTCCTCCTCCCCCTCCTCGATCCTCGCGTCCCAAAAACGCCCCCAGACGTCGATGCGTGCCCAAGAACATCCGCGAGGCTATCTCTGGGGGGGGAGAAAGGTGCGCCTGCCGTGCACCTCCGAGGCCCCCTTCACAGCATCTCCCCCCCTTTCCTGCACCTCCCCGCCCCATTCGGCGGTGGACAAACCTCCCTTTAGTAGACCTCCCCTTAGTGAAAACGGCCTGGGACCGAAACCGACGGACCTGGACCCGCAAAAATGACGGCCGCGACGCCCTCTCGCGAACCGAAAACGGCCAGTTCCTCAATCGACGTGTCAGGGTAGGAGGTCTGCCCCCCCCCCCGCCCCATCACGAGACGCCCGATCCCAAGCGCTGGGAGGCCCGAACGCCGGATCGGCGCCGTGCCGCCTCGGCGCTGCACCTCCGGGGCCGGCGCGCGGCCGGCGGTGTACGCCGCCGACGGCAGCCCGCGCCGCAGCAGCGCCACCGCCGCGAGGGAGCACAGAGCGGCTGGGCGCGGGGCGCGGCGGTGGGGCTCCTCCTCCTCCGGAGGGCCGAGGGCCGCCGAGGGGCCGCCGAGGGGCCGCCGAGGGCCGCCGAGGGCCGCCGAGGGCCGCCGAAGACTTCTTCTCTTGCCAGCCTCGAACGTATCCCTATCCTTAAGATTGACACGCCAAAAGGCGACGACAATCTCAGGGATCCGCCCTCAAAAAATATCAGGGAATCCCTGAGATTGGCATCGTGATGAGGAGGTGCCCAGCATAGGGATAGGGATATCTTCCAGGCTGGTAGTTCTCGTCGGCCTCCTCGGTCTCCGGGTCCGATCGTAGGGGAACGATCAATGGCATAAACATAAAAACTCGGAAGTCCGAGCGGATTCGTACTCGCCCTCGTTCTCTTCGTCCTCGTCCTTGTGCTTCTCTTCCTCCTCGTTGTCCTCATGTTCCTCCTCACTATCCTCACGTTCGCCACGTCGTCCTCGTCATCGACTCCTCGTTGTCCTCGCCTTCCTTTTCTTCTTCGCCCAATACGCCCATTAGACTACAGCGGCGCTTCCCGTACTTGTCCGATCAGGTTTCTCGGATCCGCGCTGGACCCCCCTGGCGGCGCCTCCGGCGCCGCCCCTGCCACGCTCCGCGCGCCAGGGAGGGGGGTCCAGCGCCGATCCGAGAAACCCGCGCGGACCTCCGCGTTGTTATGATCATGTCATTGCTCGTTCCCCTACGATCGCCCTCTTCCTCGGAAGTCGGGGGCGAGGACTGGGAGGAAACGGAGGAGGGCGAAGAAGCCAGGACGAAGACGAAGGCCAAGAGCGAGGAATGGAGAGGTCGACCCGGGTCGCATCGTCCTCGTCCTCCTCCTCCCCAAAACCCCGTGACGGTCCCGTAAACAAATTGGGACGGACCGTGTTTGGCCTTTTTCGGCCTCCAGGGGCTCCTTTCCAGCGAAGGCATCTATACACCACCACCGTGCTAGGCCAGGGCCATCCTGGGCCCCAGGATGGTGTATAGACCCTCCTGGCCTCGGCCAGGATGGCGTATACACCATCCCAGGGCCCAGGATGGCCCTGGCCTGGCACGGCGGTGGTGTATAGATGCTTTCTGCGTAACGAAAACGACTCACGATAAAGAGCTGGTGCTGGGGCAGGGTTCGAAACCGCCTGGATGCTGACGTTGCGAACAAAAGCATGACGTCGGAAGTCTGGAGACCGCCCAATCCTCGGCCTCGTCCCAACCTCTTCGTCCCGTCCTCCCCCTCCTCTTCGTCCTTCTGGTCCAGTTTGACTTCGTCGTAATCATCGTCCTCCTCCTTGTTGTTCGGCTCCTCTTCGTCCCCCTTCCGGCCTCCTGCTCAGGCATGGGAGGGCGGGAGGGGGATGAATCACACCATATTAGTTTGGCAAAGACTTCAGCCACTATGTGCCGAGCAACTGTTCAACTGCCAAGGGGCTCAATTAAAATACCGACTCAAATGCAACATCTTGAATGAAATGTTGGACGCCCGAAATGGGCACGGAAAAAATGGGAACAATGCCCAACAACAACTGTTGTCCCAAACCAACAGCGGCCGCTGTTGGGCAGGCGGCCTTCTGTCTCAAATGTACACAGGCCGCGGAGACACAGACAGCGAGTCCTGTTGGGCATTGTACCGATTCTTTCCGTACCCATGCCGTTCGTGCAGAGAAATCAAATATAGAAACGCTGGTTAAGCCATCATGCGCCACCGTGCCGGGAGGCCCTGAGTAGGGGTTCCTCGGGGCCCCTCGAATTCTCAGTATTGGATCTTGCAACTGCTCTTTGATGGCCCAAGCCCCCGAGTTCTCGGACGCTCTCAAGGCTTCTCGCATGACTTGTTCAAATTCTTGGGGAGCGTAGGTCGGAATTCAAACTGCCAACGTGCTCTAAGACGGCCGAGGGGAATGTCGTTGGGTCCTCTTGGGGGCCTCTTGGGCTGCCTTGGAGGTTAAGGGGGTAGGCCCAAGATGCCCAACTCATTGAGAACCCAAGGGTACTTTATGAGGTTGGCAATTCTCTGCTTTTCGGACGTGAGGGCGTCCAAGACGGCCCAGGACGCCTCCAAGACCTTCCAAGAGGGCCCCCGAGGCCTCCAAGAGCTCCCTCCCCTCCAAGAGGCGCCCAAGAGGCACCCCAAAGGGCCTCTTAGAGGCATCCAAACGGCCTCTTCTCCGCGACCCAGGCACGGTGGCGGGAGGAACTAAAGGTCGCTAGATCCGCCGCCCCCGTAGCCTGCCAGAGGGGTGCTTGGCATGCCCGGTGTTGTGACTCTTGTTGGCCCGTCGGCCCAACCCGCCGCCACCCCAAACCATCATGTCGGGAAAGCCCGTGTCCAGTATCTCCTAAGATGGCCCTCAAGACGGCTCCAAAACGCCCAAGATTGCAAAGATGGCCCCAAGAGAGCTCAAGATGGCCCCAAGATGTGTTCACAACTGCCCAAGAGGAATTCCAAGAGGTGGCTATGCGTCGACTGCGGCCTCCAGAGCACTGGCGCAGGCGTCATGGGGATGACGCTGCTGGCGGCGCGGCGCTCTCCTGAGGGCGAGGCTTGCGAGTATCGAGCTTTAGTGCGGCGGGGCTCGCTGTTACGTTCAGCGGAGCCGGCTTTTCACACGGAGGCGCTTGCCATCAGAATTGTTTCACCCTGAGGTCATCGGCGCTGCGGGAAGGGCCACGGCACATGCCCGACTCCAAAGAAAGAAGAAAGTTCCAAGAGGACCTCCAGGAGGTTCGCCCCCAGGAGGTTCTCCAAGTGCTGGGGGGACACGCAGTTCGACATGTGATCACACCAGCGTTTCCAGAAGGCAACGGGCGACGGTGATTCCCGTAGGAGTCTTCGACAATCAGTCCTGGAGGGGCACTGTCCAATGTTCCAACACTGGTTTTCCCAACGGCTTGGGGTACTCGCTGTCCACTAGCGTGGCCGCAATTTCACTAGCCGATTCACGTCGCAGGTGATTCCAAAAGGCAGGGCCGACATCTTCGAACATGTTTTGTTTGATAGGCTCACCTTGCTGCTATCCATGCATCCTGCAGAATATTACATGGCAGCATCAATGAGGGAATCAAAGAAACCCTTGCCCGCTGCCATACAATCGAACATCGGAAAACATGTGGCATAGAAGGAAGATCAATCAACTGCCATACGCGAGCGTAAAAGATGTCCCGACCCTTCCCGCTCTTCAGCAGCGAAGGTGGGAGGGCATTACACCTCTGACGCAGAATTCCAAACCCATCATGCACGGAGTCTGCGCCTCTTGGACCCAACAAATCCACACTGTTTGGGCCGCACGGGTCCAATCTTAAGAATGGACTGTCTCAAGAATGACTGATGACTGCCTCGATTCCTTCGTACAAGTTCCTGCATTTTGTCACGGAATGCCGAAATTGGATGGCCGTTGAGCGCACAAAGCTCTGCATTGGCAACAAGCTCTGCACGCAACAAAGCCTTTCCGTCACAATCCAAGGAGCTGTAGCTAGCATCGCCCACATTCCACCCTGCCGCAATCACGATGATGATCTCACCTTTCTCCAGGCAATCGCCATATCGAGCAAGTGCAGTCCGGCGGATAGCCTTGAGTACCTCATTTTCGGCTTGCTTGGCCACCTCAGGTCGAAAATGCTCGTCGTCAACATCTCCGTAGAAACCATCATTGATGCGTAAACTGCACGCCTCAACCTCGGCAAACCGCTTCTTTCGCGGCCGCTGCTGCACAACGTCTTCTAGGTCACAAATTGTCCATGGAGTCTCCAATCGACGCATCAATCGCGACCTCTTGCGTCCTGCAACGAACCGAGGATACTCCTCCCCGAATTGGCGACAGCGAGCCACACTGCCAGCCGAATTGACTAGCACAACTCTCACCGCGGGGTCGCCAGCAAGTAGCCGCTGAATTTCCCGATGTTTGCCCTCCAGCACGTGAGCTGCTATACCGATCGCGGACTGTGGAATCTTTTTCCTGCCGTCCCACGGTGTCATCAAAGAGCAGCCGCTTGCAACGCAATGGCAAATCCTGAAGCTGGCACTTCCGTCCTGTAGGCTTCTCAAACGCATGCCCAAACGTTTGTGCGCAGAGAGCAAGCTGTCAGAGAGTACGAGCATAAGCCCTTCCCCCATGACCCAGACGGAGTGAAAACGACAATTCCACGAGAGAGCTTACCACACACAGGCACTCACGAGCGCGTGTATCGCAGAGTACGAGACCAAGGCCCACGAGGTCTCACACAGACTGGCAAACTGTTGGGCCAAAACGGCTTGAGCCAACATGGCTGCGGAGCCGTCTTCGGACTACAGTCGGACTTCATTGGACAGGACACGCGAGAGGACAAAAGACCCTTCCGAGGGCCACATCGCAACAAGAATGTAGGAAGCATGGGTCGCGAGACACAGGACACAAAGGGTACTCGGGAGCGGCGAAGAGGAGGGTGTCCAAGAGGGGGGGGGGTGCAAATCATGACCGGCGGCATGTGCGCGGCCCAGCGGGGGGGCCAGGGACGTAATGAAATAAGAAGAGGCGCCATGAAATCTGGGGAAATATCGCCCCCGCCATGCTATCCATCCCCCCTAGTCATCACCCCCCTCTTTTCCGCACCCGAGGTACCCTCGATTTGGCAAGGTCGACCTACTAATCCGGGCCCACTGCATCTCGAGGCGCGCTTTCGCCGTCGCGGGCCTCTCCTGGAGGCCGCAGGAACACTCCTCGACGCGAGCATCCTTCAGGTCGGCACGCCCAGACCGGAAGGGTCCCCGTGGTCCGAGCATGGAGCCCCGAACCTGTCCATGACGAACGAACAACACACACCCATACCCATAGGGAGGTCGTTGGGAGGAGGACTGGCTATGGGCATGGGTGCGGGTTGTCGGACCCTGGGGAACGCTCCCATTCGAGCGGGGACCTCCATCCGACAACACGCACCCATAGCCCTCTCCGATCCCCCTATGGGTGTGGGTGTGTGCTGTTGGTTCGTCAATCCAGGGACGCGTTCGGGACCAGAATCGGCGAACGAAGCCGCGGCCGCCAGGAGCCTCCTGGAGGCTCGAAACGTGTGGTAAGCGCTCGATCCTCGAGCCTTCCAGGAGGCTCCGACCGCTTCTCTGGGACCTGCTTTCCAGCCTGAGCAGTTCCTTGACGGCCACCGGGCCCAATCAGAGCCACCAGAGGTCGAAACCTGCCAGAAAACCTACCTAGGAAACACCCAGAATATCTCGGCACTCGAACCTCGACCCTCCTCCTCCTCCTCCTCCTCCTTCTCCTCCTCCTCCTCCTCCTCCTCCTCCTGTGAGGGGCAGCGTTAGGGGGGGACAGGCTCATGGGGGGAACACCGACCTGGAATCGACGACTCATCGCCGAAAGATCGGCGATACGCCCTCGATGGCGAATGCGGACGTTCCTGAGCCTGGTGAGCTATCAGGCCCCCGTCGGCAATCAGGGGGCGACTGGGGGTCGGGGCGTTCCCCTGAGCCAAAAGATCCTGCCCCCTGGCTCTCGGGTCATAACTCGTCTCTCCGTCGGCCGTTCGGGACGATCTGGGCATCCCTGGAAAATTCTCGACGAGGCGCAGCTGGTGGAAGGCATCGCGACGGGAAAACCCGAGAACCAGCGAGAACGCCCGAAAGCCTAGAACCTCGATGCGATCCCCCCCTGAAGCTAACCTGACTATCCTCTCCTCTTCCTCCTGCCCGACCTTGAGCGCCCGAATTATACGGGACAGCTCCGGCCAGGGGGAACTCCCGCTGGGGCCCCCGACACACGAACCAGGAGCCACCACCGCCCCCAGCCCCGATGCTTCGGGAGTGGTTGGACGCCCGATGTCGACTACACGCAAGAGTGACCCTGGGTAAGAGTGACCTTTGGTGCGCGGCTTTTTGGGGGGCCGCGGGGTGACCAAACACAGGCGCGCAAGACGCTACCAGCGCATCGATTTCGGCGATCGGGGAACCCCAATGTGCCCGCACCAAAGGTCACTCCGGCGAAGGGTCACTCTTACGTCTAGTCGATGATGGATGCAGGAGAACTCCGGCCTGGGGCAGCTCTGGCTTGGGCCCCCGAGGCACGAAACAGTCAAGCGGATGCTCCGGGGCTCTGGCCAGCGGGGTGCTCGCCGCGCCCGCGCGCGCCTCCGCGTCGCCAGGCGGCCGCCTGCCGTCGCGTGGGCGGCGCCATGGGCTCGCGCAGGGCAGCGCCGAGGGAGGGCCGGCCGAGGGCCCCCAGACCTCCGACGATGGCGGCGGCGTCGGCGGCGACTGCGGCGACGGCGCCTCCTCCTCCTCCTCCTCCTCTTCCTCCTCCTCCGCCTCCTCATCCTCCTCCTCCTCCTCCTCCTCCTCCTCCTCCTCTTCGTCCTCCTCCGCCTCCTCATCCTCCTCCTCCGGCGACGGGGGCGACGGCGACGGCGCCGACCCCAGCGGCGGCGATGGTGCCGACGCCGACGCGGGGACACCGCCGACCCCCAGGGGCGGGGACGGCGACGGCGACGCCGACGGCGTCGGCGACGACGCACGAAGAGACCCCTGAGGCCTCCGCGAGAAACCAAGACTTCCTCTGGCGACGACGAACGAAGAGACCCCCATGGGCTCCGCGAGAAACCAATACTCCTCCTCCTCCTCCTCCTCCTCCTCCTCCTCCTCCTCCTCCTCCTTGCTTCTGCACCTCCCTCTTCCTCGCTTCTCCTGCCCCTTCTCCGCTTCCTACTCCTCTTCATCCCTCCCCCTCCTCCCCATACTCACTTCCCTCCTCCTTCTTTTTCCCCTCCTTCTCTCTTCCCCTCCTCCAGGCGCCAGGCACTCGGACCTCCTGGCGCCGCGAGCAAAGCCGATGGGAAATGTTGGCCATTCTCGGCACCTGGGGGTTTTCACCCGGACACGGGGCCATCCAAAAACGACTCGGGAGAAGCCAGACCAGGGAAGGGGGTCGGGGCCTCAGGGGTTCCACGTTCCGATGCACACCAGGCGATGGGCTGCTGGGAGGCCTTCATCCGCCACGGCTGCATCCGCATCGAAGCTCTGGTCCGAACGCGCTCCTGGACAGGTCCGGGTGGTGAGCTTGAGAAGGCGGCCGAGGCTCGGCAAGGAGCCCTGACCTCCGAAGGATCGATTGATGCAATCCTTGCGTTTTCCATTCACGTCTGCATCCAGGGACATGAACCTTCAATCTGTGACAGAAAAACTGCTCCCTGGGAAGTGGTCGGGCCGTGGATTGGAAACACACTCTGTGTCGCTCAATAGCTCTAGGGGCACCTGTAGTTCAGGGAGGGTACCTGTAGCCTGTAGTCCGGATGAGGGATACCTGCAGTCCGGGAGGGGTACCAGTAGTCGGAGGTGGGGTACCTGTCGTCCGGGGGAGGGGCACTTGTGGTCCGGATGGGGGGTACCTGTAGTCCAGGGCGGGCGCGTGTTCACGCGTCAACGCACGTGTTTTTTCGCGCACCTGTAGCTTCGGAGGGGACCAGTAGTCCAGAGGAGGGGTACCTGTAGTCCAGGGGTGGGTACCTGTAGGCCACGGGAGAGATACCTGCAGTCTGGGGAGAGGGTACCTGTGGTCCGGGCGGTACCTGTAGTCATGGGGCCCAGCTGATTTGTTGAGGGAAACAAAATAGTCAGATGTCTGGGAGCACCATGGAAGGTGCTTCTGTTTCACCAGAAAATGCCCTGGGCCGCAAAAAGAGCACTGGGGGTGGACTCCCGTTTCTCCATGGCGGTCCCGAAGTTCGACCCCAGCTGCTCAGGGGCGCGCAAGGATGACAAAGCCACCAAACCTGGGAGCTTCACCCAGCCCCCCCCCTCCTCATCATCACAGGTCCCTAGATTTGATGGGCCTGGGGCCCAGAAGGGCTCCCAGAAGCCCAAAGTTGCCAGAAACGTTCCTGTCGTTATGCTTTCACGACGCGAGAAATGTTTGGGCTCGAGGGCTAAAACGTCGACTTCCGGCCATCTCCTGGGGCGCGTCCTGTCCAGAACATCGAGGGGAACCCATACGTGGCGACGCGAAGCCTCCTAAAGGCGCCAAAGAAAGAAAGACATGCAACGACACCCTTGCGGTAAAGACCCTAAACAGCTTTACGCAGCGCAGTTGCGATGGGGGAAGCGATGGGGGGCTCGATGGGGGGATCGGGGTAGGGATAGGGAATAGGACTAGAGATACAAGTACATCGGGATACAGGGATAGGGATGGGGACATGAATATGGGACAGAGAAAAAAGGGATAGGGATAGAGGCAGTGGGATAGGGATAAGGATACGGATCGACAAAGCGAGACAATCTGACAACATGGGAGACAACGTCGCCTGGCCGATTCTGGATCCCGCCACGCACCTACTAGCTTCTGAGGGAACTGATGCAGAACCCTTACAGAAGAGCTGATTACGGACAAAACCTGGCCCCTCCTCTCCTCTTTCTCCTCCATGCTTCCGCCAGCCCTGGAACACAACCTGTTGCCATACCTTGCGGGGCCTGCTTCCGTCGGCCGTCCGCCGCCTTGCGCCAGCAGAAGCAGCTCCTGTTTCATTTCTGGCGCATTCCGCCGAGGAAGATGTGGCAACTCCTTCGGCGCTCCAAGGCGAGGCCCTCCCTGGAACGTACCACATGCAGAAGCCTCCTACCTCCTCCTTATTGCATTGGACAAGCGCTGGCTGGCGTGACCCACCGCGTCTTGAAGGCTGCGATCCGAGAAAACGAGATCGGAACGCCGGGCCCGGTCAACTTCAGAGAGGTGCGCTCCGTGCGCGCACGGCTGGACACGGAAGGGCGACGAGCATGGCCCCCGCCATGATATCCCCCCCCCCTAGCATTCACCCCCCCTCGGGTCGGGCGAAAGGGGGGGATAGCAAATGAGGGGTTTGAGAATCAGCTCACGCAGCTGATTTTCCCGGTGCCTCCCGGCGCCGGAGGCGGCCATGCATCGAGGCATGGGTCCCTCGGTGGGGCCGAAACCAGCTGCATGCAGCAGATTTCGTAACCCCCCCTTTCCCAATCCCCTCCTTTCGCCCGGCCCGACCCCCCTCTGCCGCCCCCGATCCCCCTTCCGCACCACTCCTCGGGGGGCCCTCGCCATCGCTCGGACGTCCATTTCCTGTGTTTTTTTTTGGTTTCGTGCGTGGTTCTTCCGCCAAATGATCAAGGATGCTCCTCGATGGCCCTCGCCGAGGAAAAAAAAAAATGCACACGTCTGCCGCTCCCGATCCCCCCTTCCGCACCACTCCTCGGGGGGGGCCCTCGCCGGAGGCGCACACTGCGCCGGAGGTCTGGGGGGAGGCGGGCGGGCGCGGGCCGTGCTGGCGGGGCGGCGCGCGGCGTGCGGGCGGCCCAGCGGCCCTCTCGCAGAAGCGCCCCCCGCGCCCGCCTCTCCGTCCTCGTCGCCCTGGCATCCTCTCGCTGTGGGAGAATCGCGACGGACACGTCTGGCAGTTTTGTTCACCGGGCCCAGGGGGACAGTCTTAAAAAACGACTCACGAGGAGAAGCCCGTTCCGGAGAGGCGGTCGAGACCTCTGGGGAGCCGCGTCGTGAAGCAGTCGAGGCATCGCATGTCTAGGGGGGAAGAGAAGGTCAGTGCGGGGGGACGGCGAGCAGGGAGGGGGGGGATTGGGGCAGGACGAGGTGGGGATCGGAGAGGGAAGGAGGAGGGGCAAAATTCTGGTCCCCGCCCTCCTCCGTCTTCTTCTCCACCTGCTCCTCGTCCTGCTCGTCGTTCCCTCCCTGCTCCCCACTCGTTATCCTACTCGTCGTCGCTGGCATGCAGCTCTTCCTCCTCTCCGTCCTTCTTGCCTCAAGTCGTCGTAGTCGTCCGCCTATTCGTCGCGCTGCTGCTGCTGTTCCACCTCTTTTTTCACGTACTTCTCCCATAATTTTCCTCCTCGCCTCCTCTGGGTGGTCGAGGCCGAGTGGAATCTTCACGCATGATCAAGCCAATCTCATAATCAACGTCAACACTTCCTAGACCATGCCAGACTCTTAGAGCCAAAGGTTCCGCCACTGCTCCTGCTCTCCTCTGCAGAGGGTCCGAGAGACCCGGAAAAAAAACGTCCAAGAAATGCGATCACTCTCCACCCTCGATCCTCTCTCCTCCGACCCCTCCTCGTTCTCACCCTCCCTCTCAGATCCCGACGTAATGACTTGTTGAATCTGCCCCCCCGGACCTCTCGACCCCTCTCCTGGGGGCATGTGTTTCTCTCAGATCGCTTTGACGGTCCTGGGGCCCCACAAGCCCCTCAGGACCGAAAATGACAGAATTATTCACTGCGTGGAGCTCCCCATATGTGCATCTACTCGCATGGACCTGTCCGCCGTGAATGTCTAGGCGCAAGAGCTTTCGAATATTAACGGGCTTCAGTTGTGATGGTCTGGACATCAATCTAACTGCGAATGAATTGGAGTGTGAATGAGCCTCAGTAGTACGAGCGCGTCTCTGTGCATGAGCCTGGGGCCTCCTGGGGCCTCCTGAAACCTACTGGGGCTTCCTGGGGTCTCCAGGAGCCTCTTGGGACCTCCTGGGACCTCCTAGGAAGGTTTCGTGCCCCAGGAGAGGCGCAATCTATAGCAACAGACGTACATAAAACATTGCGGATTAGAGCCACAGGAGAAGGGCAATCTATAGGAACACGCGTAAAACACCAAGGACTCGTGCCCCAGGAGAGGCCCAATATATAGGAACATGAGTAAAACATTTAGGATTGTGTACACAGGAGAAGGACCATCTATAGAAACATACGTAGAACATCAAAGAATCGTGCTCCAGGTGAGGCCCAATCGATAGGAGCATACGTAAAACACATGGGATTGGAGCCACTCCTGTTGCCTTCTGAGGCCTCCTGCTCCTGGGGCCTCTCGGGGCCTCCTGTTGCCTTCCGAGGCCTCCTGGCGCTTCCTGTTGCCTCCTGGGGCCTCCTGTGGTTTCCTGAGGCCTTCTGGAGCTTCCTGGGGCCTCCTGGAGCCTCTTGGGACATCCTGTGGCCTCTTGAGTCTTTCTGTGGCCTCCTGATGCCTCCTGGGACCTCATGTGGTCTCCTGGGGCCTCCTGGAGCCTGTTGGAGCCTCCTGTGGCATCCTGAGAAGAATCTGCGCCCACGAGCCTGGCCACCAAAACAAGCAAACCGATCGAGACATCCTCAAAATCTGGCCCACCTGGGGGGTGAAAATGAGCGCCTCGCTCGAGACATCCTCCAAATCTG